TACAATAAATTGGCAAACATGCGCTAAGAAAGCAAAAACAATGTAAGAATGGTAGTGAGGTGCGAAAGAAAATACATGTTCAGCACAGCCTCTGGTAAGCCGACTCTCTTTCTTGTCCTGCGAGTTTTTCCCTCTCTACAATATGCCACAAAAAATAGCACCATTTCCTACGCGAATCCAGTGAAAAAGCGCACAATAATACAAGCCCAACAAAAAGGACAAAATCGCAAGGCGAAAGATAAAAGAGCGCGAATGCTGAAATTTTTTGTTCGACGCTGCAAGCGTTACATGTGTCACACACCCAGCCTTCCCTTCTCCTCCCCACCCCTGACCGTAAAACCAGACATGAATAACTGCCGGCGTTGCGAAAAAAATAGAACAGAAAAGATAACCAACCCAAAAAGCGGGCCCTCACGGCGGCCAAAACAAGCTTCGAGAGCGGTGGCACAGAAGTTCGAACAGCGACTTCCCTCCGGCGGATTTTGGCGCAGGTTTCGCCGCATAAAACTCGAAAATCATCAGCTACTGTGCCCAGAGTCGAAATCAGTCACAGATATTCTGCCACGCAGAATACAAAGACCAATTAAAAGCTTCAGTTTGCCACAAGATTTATGCGGCAGCAGTCACTGAGGGGTTCTTCTGTTTGCCCAGGACTCCTGCTCTGGGCCAATTTTTTAGCTTAACGCAAAGTTTATGCTGTGCGATACAAGTGTATTTGTCCGATTACAATAAGACTAACTAACTTAACAATCATGTTATTATTACCTATTTTAAATTTAACCTAAGAAGTAAAGGCTTAAGAATGTGTTCATCAACTGCTGTCTCGGACTATCAAAACAAAGGGGGTCGATGTTTTCTTTCCATCAACCATCGCTTCAAGTTAGAACGACGGACCGTTTGATTGCAAGACCCCGCTCCGACTCAGAATCAAACTAATGCCGGGACTGAGGTGAAAAGCCTCCTCTAACCGCAATCCAGGTGACAAACATTGTCTGCGGCGACGACAGTCGGTTAGCCGAACTTAACGCGCCACTCTTTTCGGGGGAGTAGCAGCAATTTAAATTGAAACAAGAAGAAAAGCAATATCAAATAATATTTTGCTAGTGGAAATGGACAAAGCCCCATCTTTTGTCAGAAAAAGCATGTTGAGTAACTGACGGTGACGTCACTTTCCATGCGAGGCCTTCTAACATAAATTTCTTCATCAATAGCGAAATAATGTTCCGATTTGAAAAATCTTTCGATAGATATTGACAAAAATATGGAAGGTATACACTATAATATTATGGACGGACAGACAGACCGTCAGACGGACATGTTTTAATCGATTTCGCTATTGAAACTGATCAAGAATGTATACACATTATAGGGTTTGGAAATGCTTCCTTCTACCTGTTACATGCTATTCAACGAATCTAGTATACCCTTTTACTCTACGAGTAACGGGTAAACCAATTACGAGTACAGGATCTCAGTAAATAGGTGGGTGTGACTGGGACCTCCAGATCGGACACCCAACAGATAAAGCACTCAGAACAAAGGCATCCCCAGGAGGAAAGGGACGAGATGTAACGCTTTTCACTGCAACCAGGGTAACCACATAATTGAGTTATTACACTCACTGACAACACTGCCAGGGCTCATATAAATTTCCACCAACGAGCAGCCACAAAAACTAACAGAAACACAGAAAAACTAAACAAAGACTTGGGCGGGACAGGCGTATATGGCCGAAAGCAAATGCACGACAATTTATGGAATCTTTCCCTGAGCTACATCGAGAATAAAAAGCGACAAAAGGTAATAATTAGACTGTTCTTGAAATTTAAATCCGATCTTTTTAGGTTTAGCCCACCTAGCTTACAAGCTATTCTCAACCGGCCCTTTTCTTATAAATTGCTTTCAAAACTTTCAAATAATTTAAAAACTTCTCTTCTTCCAAATGGTTTTATTATTAAGCCTAAAACCTTTTTAGCATTCGCCTTGTCAAAGAAAGAATAATTAGATATATAAATAAAAGAAATATAATTAAGCCAAATAAAAGAAAATGGTATCGTCTTGCAGTGTAGGTCTAACAGAAGGCGTTCATAACCCAGAGCATATGATAAATAACGCAAACACACACCCCCAGCCACGTAAAGACCCTTCTGAGATGTGTGTGTGTGTGTGTCTATGAGGGTTTGTCCCAAGTGCCACTCCCCTGATCCACTCCTCAGGCTGCCCCGAATACACCGCGCACATCGTTAGTACGGCGAAGAAGACGTCGACGATTCTACCGCTGAACTACGACCTCAAGTCACGGCTCAATGCATATGTATGCGTATTAAGGATGCTCCAGATACACACACAGTCGCACACAGACACAGCACTAACTGCCGTTTGGCCTGTGTCAATATGTATGTAAATAAGCGGGAAAACAAGTGGTTATAAATTTCCAAGGATGATGCCGCCGGGCGAATGAGCATACGACATTGCGTATACGCACCATCGACGGAAAACGCCGTCAACCGAATATAAACCCATGCATACAGACTCCTGTCTGTATGAGGGCATACCCTAATTACATTTTCCTTAGGAAAGGAGCCGCCGATACAAACTCAATAACAAAAAGGGATCAGGATAATATGAAAAATGGGATAGAGGAAAACCATATCAAAATAAAAGTACGAGGTGTGTTCAAAAAGTAAGGTGACTTTTCAAATTTCGCGGGCAACATATTTTCGATTATCGATTTTTTTGTTTTGTTATATTGGTACACTCTTCCCTAACATCTGTACCAAGTTTCAATGGAACATCCTCTTTTGTTTGGTTGTGAGAGGCGTAAAGTTACAAGTTATTTTGCGAGCTCGGCGATTTTTTGCTATCGAAAAATATGGATCAAAGGATTTGCATCAAATTTTGTGTAAAAAATAAAATTAAGTGCTCTGAAACACTTGAAATGTTGACAGTGGCATACGGTGAAACTGTTCTGAGTAAAAAAAATGTGTACAAGTGGTACAAACTCTTCCAAGATGGCCGGGAAGATGCCAATGACCAGCCTCGCTCTGGACGCCCAAGCACGTCAACAACTGATGAAAACGTTCAAGCAGTGACGAAAATTGTTTTGGAAAATCGTCGAATCACTATCAGAGAAGTTGCTGAAGATGTCGGTATATCGCTTGGCTCGTGCCATGAAATTTTTTCAAACGTTTTGGGTATGAGTCGTGTGTCAGCGAAGTTTGTTCCGAAATTGCTGAATTTTGACCAAAAGAACCGTCGCATGAGCATCGCTCAAGAGCTGTTGAATGACGTCAACGACGACCCAGATTTACTCAAAAGGGTCATAACTGGTGACGAATCATGGGTATATGGTTATGATATCGAAACCAAAGCCCAATCGTCCCAATGGAAGAGCCCAGGCGAGCCAAGACCGAAAAAAGCACGCCAAGTTCGATCAAATGTCAAAGTTTTGATCACTGTTTTCTTCGATTACCATGGCGTGGTGCATCAGGAGTTCTTACCATATGGTCGTACGGTCAATAAACAGTATTATCTGGAAGTTATGCGCCGTTTGCGAGAAGCAATACGAAAGAAACGTCCAGAATTGTGGAAAAACAATTCATGGCTTTTGCATCCACGATAATGCCCCTGCTCACTCATCTTTGCTTGTGAGAGATTTTTTGGCCAAAAACAACACCACAATAATGCCTCAGCCACCATATTCACCGGATTTGGCCCCATGTGACTTTTTCTTGTTCCCAAAACTGAAGAGACCTATGAAAGGACGGAGATTTGCAACGATTGAAGAGATAAAGACTGCATCGCTGCAAGAGCTCAAGGCTATACCGAAAAGTGCTTATGGGAAGTGCTTTGAGGATTGGAAAAACCGTTGGCATAAGTGTATTGTATCTGAGGGGGATTACTTTGAAGGGGACAACATAAATATTGATAAATAAATTAATAGTTTTTCTTGAAAATACAAAGTCACCTTACTTTTTGAACACACCTCGTAAACATAAACAAGGAGTATCTAGAACTAATGAAGCGTGTTAAGGAGAGAGGAATCGCCGTGGCAAAAGATCTATTAACTATGATATAAAATTAAAGCTCATTTTGTACACACCAAACTGACCCTGCCTGTGTGATGACCACCATCCTTGAAAGTTTTTAATATGTTTATTTCTGTAAACGCCACCGTTTCGTCGTCAATGTCTTTTATTACTGCTGCTGTTGTTGTTTATTATTCGCTCCAGTCCGACCCCCTTCGGTCTCATGAAACCATTTTATCACCAACCTCATGGAGGGGTTGTCCACTACAAGTTTGCAGCTTTATTACACTTCTCATAGAACCCCATAAAATTAAAAGCAATTTTGTCGCTGCAATACTTTAACTTTTGTTCGTTTCCCTGTTGGGTTGAAAGTTTTTCTTATTTATCTTCGATTGCACTATCACTTATAACTTGTTTTTCAACATAAGTAGTATCCACACCTCAGCTACTGTCAATATCTCTGATAAATTGGTGATTAATTACATCCATTACTAGTAATCTAAAAGTGTATACGGTATCAGTTGAAAAGCGACGGTAGAAGAAAATATTGTTACCGCTTCTACTCTTCTCTGTAATCGAAATATATATTTTTTGTCTATAATTTGTTAAGAAATTAGGGTTAATAAGCCTTTTATAGGCATTCGGTAACGCCAGTTAAGACATTAGTCCATTGTTTACCCAAAAGGTGGCTTTTTAAAATTACACAGACAGGTTTTCGCTGCTGGCATATATTTCAGTTGTAGTTTATTTGCAAGCAGTTGCTTGAATTTGTAACCATTCAAAAAAGATTTCCTAATTTAATTCGAATAGAAGTTTGCTTACGTTTTGTGTTCCGGTTGAGCCATATGACAGATAAACTTAGTTGTAGGACCTCCTTTACAAGATCCTTCAAATATTTATAGGCATCATTGAATAGCAGCTCGCTACTACTACTATAAAAAGGTTTCTTGAATGTACCTAGGCAAGCCTTTCCTATCTTCTTTTAACTTCCTCATTGAACGACTTAAGAACATGTGCCACGATGCATTTGTCAGCTGTTTTTCTGAATATCGTCAAATCAATTTTTTTGTGGCTTGGAATTTTCCAGTTCATGCCACCTAGGAATGTTCTTGAGTGAACAACGGATCCCTTCTTATGGTCAGACATGTCCATCTTCGGCGACTTTCTTCCTGGATAGCTTCTGCCAAAAGTCGTAGCCCGTCCAGCATCGTCATATTTTGCAGGATCTGGTATACCGCCTTTAACATTGGAGGTCCGCTTTGTCAGGTGCTCCTGTCCATGCGGACCTTTTGGTAAGTGAACTCTATGCCGGTGACTACCATGTTTTGGTTTGCAACATTTTCGCTTTGGAGGTTTCTTTTTTCCTATCTTTTCACATCCCCACCTGCATGGTCCTCCAGGTCCTCCCGGGCCGCCCGGTCCCCCGGGTCCACCCGGACCACCGGGTCCATCTGGACCACCAGGCCCACCAGGTCCTCCAGGACCCCAAGGCATTCCGGGCCCGCCAGGTCCACCAGGGCCTCCGGGACCGCCAGGCCCCATGGGACCACCAGGCCCACCTGGACCCATCGGACCGCCTGGACCATTTGGTCCACCTGGTGCTCCTGGTCTTCCACACTCGCCGGGCTCACTGTTCTTTGCAGTTGAGCTATTTGGAATAACTTTCGTAGTTGTCCTTTCGGTTGGAATGGCCTTTGTAGAAGATGTTTCCGTGGGAGTAATTTTCGTAGTTGTCCTTTCGGTTGGAATGACCCTCATAGAAGTTGTTTCCGTGGAAATAAAAGTGATCGGAATTTCTGTAGTTTTAATTTCTGTCGCTTTTGTGGACTCCTGGCCTTGCGGTGATGATGGGAGAGGAGGGCAACTGCTTCCTGGCTTACACCAGCCACTTCCTTTGCAATATGCTCCTAAGGGCAACGGGCAGTGCTCACCTGGGTCAAGCCAACACTTCTTTTCCGGGATGGGAACATTGCACTCCGGTTTCCAAGGAGGGCATATTTCCGCTGGCGGTCGGTTGTAACAACCTGGTCTCCAGGAGGGGCACGATTCGGCCTGCAGAATCTCACAAGGATCTCTTTTGATCATGTCGCAAATCTCCAATAGGTGACTTTGCAGGCGGTCCATGGACATCATTTCCGGGCTTAACTCGGCGCTAACTATCCTCTTCTTTGCCTCGGCTAACTGGGAAACGGATATCGGGTCAACGACTTTGTTGTTAGCCTGAACCGCAACCTCATGAAAAATTCGGTATTTTAGCCTCCTCTCATCTTTGCCAAACAATCCCATAGCCATGAGCATCATCGTCCCCGCTAGGAGCCCTTTTGAAGCAATATATGTGGAGGTTGTAAAAGTCAGTATCTTCTTTAAATCAGAGCTGGTTCTGACATACCATAGAAAAGCAGAGCGCGAGCCATCTTAGTCGCATGTATCCCTAGAACTGGTGTTTTGCTTTAATACATTTTATTTATTTATTTTTGGAAAGTGCGCGATAATCGAGTGATGCGACCATAAGATACCCATTACTCGGTTCACCCATTCATTCCCATTGTATGCTACCAGCAAAAACTCTTATTTTTATTTTATATAGAGCCCTCCGTTGGCATAACCATACACTGAGGCATAATACAAAATGCGGTGACGTCGTTGCCCATTTATGACTTCGGCGGTGCGAAGGTATTCATAGGATCTGCATGCTTTTTTCGAACTTTCTAGCTCTTATAGCTTATAATTAATGAAAGAAAAAATATGTACATAAATTATATTTTAACCACAGGTTCTGTTAAATACTTTTGGAGAAATACAAAATGCCGCCAGCTCTAGGAGTAAAGGGTATAAAAATAAATTTTATCGATTCGATCCACTAGATTTGCTAGCAAGGCGCTATGCCACGGTGAATGTACGAGTATAAAATGAATATTTTTCTTCAACATAAATGAATTATTCTAGTACGGTGGCAGTTTAATTTCCCTTCCTTTACTAACTGTCAGTTGGTTTATTGCCTGTATTATCAGTGTACAAATCCACTTGGTCTTAAGTCACTATTTAAGTGAGGCAACAAACTTTGATCCTGTCATAAGACATAATGCCATCCATCATTAAAAAGACCGCCCAGGGGCCGATGTGTGCCGCCACGGCAACAGCCATCAGATCATTGGCATTGTCACTTCGAGGCAAATCGCGTTGCCATGCCATCTCAGAAATTTCCGAATTTTCCAGGCCGATTATTTATGTGGGCCCGGCGACAACAAAACAGGAGCATCAATCATTTCCGGGCAATCGGATGACATTGCCCCGGGACCTGCCAGAAGGTGAAGGCCCCAACGAAGCATATTTTTAATATATAAATGAAAGTTTAGACTGTCATGTTGATGAATTGAAATATTGCCGCACGAATGCGTTACGCAGGTAATCAAGCATCAAATTGCCGGGGGCTGAGTCGGAAGGAAAAAATGATCCAGGAATAGCTGGGGCACAGCCTGAGCTTTACGCTTTAAATGCCTCCAAAGTGGATGTGCTGTTTACGTGGGATTGGGTGGCTCTTCAAATGAAGTAATCAAAGAAGGGAGAGCTCCCAAAGTAAACAAAGTCGGAACGAGTTGGCGGCCCCACAGGGAGTACCACGTGTTAGCCTACAATATATTTATTTAGTCAAATCAATTTTATGGCTTCCCCGTTTTTATAGCGCCAAACGTAGCTGAAAAATCCCGGCAGAGGTTGTCATTTCCACTTCCTCTACCTCTAAATTTGCAGTCGATAAACGCGTACAGAGAAAGAGTTCTAAAAAAACCACAAAATTCAGCGGAGAAGCTATTTCAGTTGGTACCTCCTGAAATTTATATCTCAAGAATATTATATACTGTCTGCAAAAGATTTTTAATTTGACATTTATCATTTTTAAGTATGTTTTTAGTTTTTTAATTCATAGACGCATAATGAAACATTTCATTGGTTATATAAAGCCTGAGGTCACTCTAATTTAAAGAGGAGTTATAAAAGGATTTATCAACGAACTCCTGCCCTCAAGTAGCAACACCTGATATATCTAAGCCTGAAAAAGTAATAATAAATTTAAAAATATGATATCATATTAAGAAAAAAATCTATACATTGAGGAACCTATAACCTAGCATTTGGCATTCTCACTGCAGTGTATGGATGTACGGGTGATTAAGTGCGGGGGTGTTTGTGTGTAGAAAAACGATAGGGGAAGCAGCACCAGAGAGCCAAACCTCTGCTCTGGCTGTGTGCTTGGCTGTTGATGCCGATTCGCAGGTGCGTGTGTGTGGCCCATCTGAACTTTTAAGCTAATTTGAAATGTTAATTTAATTAATTTGGGTGCGTAGTTCTTAATGAAAATGTCAGGAAGTCAAAAAAATCCATTGCTTGTGGGCCAGGAAAATGGGCAAATAAAGGTTATAAGTATGTCATGATGGCAGGTCTCTGTATTGTTAACGATACTGACAAGAGCTGTCATCTAAATTTTAAAACTTAAATAGATTTTAAAGTCTAACATAGAGATGGCATCAGTAAAATTATAACAATTAGTGATTAGTTTTAAGCATTCTTGTTGTAAATTTGGTTTCGTACAGTCTGAGCAGAGTATCTTTGAAAATGCTAGAAACTATGTAAATTTAAATTATAAACGTAAAATACTGGAAAAATAAATTAACTTAAAAACCTCCAGAAGAAGAAGACGGGAAGCATTATGTATAAAACAAAAAGCGCTCAGAATGATTCCCTCGAAGTACCGATTAAACGGCCTAGTTATATATTCAAACTTACTGTTTCCACTGAAAACTTTTAATGAGAAATGAAATTATTTGTGCATCCCTCTTTCGCAGGCAGGAACTACAATTTTCCAGCAATAGAAACACAATTATGGCGAATTCGAACAAAGCTCCGTCAAAGTTCGTTAACAACAATAATAGGGAAGGGCGCAAGAAACGCAGCTGCAACCACGGCATCAGTAGGGGCCACAAAATGTAATCGGCCAAGGACGCAGATCTGAAAAGGGCCCACTCAGTGAGCAGTGGGCAACGGTCAACGGAAACAGCAATAGCCACCTCTGCATCGCAACAATCGACAACAAGCGCAACCACAACAGCAGCAACATTAAGAAACCACACAAAAATACGCAACATAAATGAAGTTAACAATCTGTCAAGTTGCTAAATTATTGCTGCTGCTGACAGCCTTCTTCTTTCTCGATTCCCCCGGCGCTGCCTCTTTAGCCTTCGGCTTGAATCCTGCCTCCTCCCCTTCCTCCTCCTCCTACCACCCAGAAACCACCAACCTCCCGGCATCGGGTGTCCTTGTCCTGCATGCGGCCAAGATAGAAACAGATTTCACAACAACGCCAGCTACAAAATCGAATGCGGCTACGCGGACTTCCCTTGCGACAGCGACGGCAGCAACACTTAGCAGCAATTCAATTTGGCCGACAGCAACACAGCCAAAGAGTCCACGTAATGCGCGTGAGTCTGAACGTCAGAAACGTCAAAAGCAACAGCCCGCAACCCAGCATCAGCAACAGCAACAGCAACAGCAACAGCAACAGCAGAAACATCAGCGCCCGCAGCGGCAACAGGAGCAGCAACGTCAACGAATGGCCGTTTTAATACCTTCCTCGCTGCACGTTGATATGACGCATGTGCAACAGGGGTTCCAGAATTTCCTCGACTTTTTCCAACTGCATTTATCTAATGTCAGCGTCGACTTCCTACGTGATGTGGGTGAGTAAACACAAACCGAAAAACAAACCCATCAGAAACAGGCCAAGCATCCTTGTTTGCCTTGTTTGTTGCCACAGCCCTGAAAATCCCTGCCAACATGCATTTAGACATCGTGTTTTATCGATGATTTGTGTGTGCCTGATGCTCAAGTTTCCTCTTTTTTCCGTTCAAGCCATTCCGCACGAGACGGAGGCTGAAGGTGGCAGTTTATGAAGATGAATTGGCCGGCTGTTTGCTGGGGGTAAATGTTTGCCGGCAGCCAACAGAGTGGAAGTTATGGGAAACTTTGCTAATTGAGTGAGGAAATACAAATCAAGCGAATGAATTAAAGTTGATGTTATCAAGGCTGGCAAATCTCTGCTCGGGATGTCTTAACTTTTTCAGCTTTCGAAGACATTGCTTTCCGACCCTCTGCAAACTCATTTTGCATGCATTATGCTTTGATTTCTTTTCCCTCCTTTTCCAGACCTTTCCTTTTCCATAAATATCCATCGTTTTTCCAAGCAAATTTAAACTAATTCAAGCACGTCCTGCCTCTGATTCCTTTTAGAGTTGGAGGAGAGATGGGAAATAGACAGCCAGCTTTTACGCATTTCCCAGCAAAAGTTATAGCTTTAATTACGGAAACTTCCCTTCCTACTTTAAGCTATCTTTCGTAGTCGTTGACATCGTAAATATTTATGCTCCCTGCCGGTGACAACTTACAATTTCCTTTCTCAAACCTGCCGCTTTTTTGCGAGGAGACCTTTTAGTTTTGCGATTCTCGCTGAGTCGCAGAGAAGGAGCTCGAGCTTTAAAACTGACTAGGAGCTGTCACTGCTGGAATATCAATTTGCAGAATAATTGGACAACATGGCGACTGGCAATTTCACCGCACAGACATTCGCAGAGGCTTACACAACAGCAACATGTGTAAGCATCCAATCAATCCACAACACCCTGTGTGAGCTTTTTATATAATACAATTATCCAACTATTTCCCCGGCAAGGTCCCGTTTTATTTTGTCCTGAGGTAGGAGGTAAAAACCAGTCTACGAGCCTCTCGTTTTAGCCTCTTTTGTGCCGTTGCCAACGTTGGTCAGCATATAAACTTGCAGCCTTTTCTCCGGACATGAACTGCAACTGGGGACATATGCAACTAGAACCCATTTCAATATTTTGCAGAACATTAAAACCTGCAGTGCAGTAAGACAGCCAAGTTAAATTACGGCAAATGGAATTTATTTGTACGGATTGAAAACGTTACGTTAGTTTGGTTTGCAAATTGAATTTCGTTGTCGGGCACTTAAATCAATTTAGATGGCTGTGGGAGGAGGCAAGTTTCACCTGTTATTTATGACACCTTCGAGGCAGTCCCCTAAATTAAAGATATCAAACTTGGACTTTGTGAACAACAAACAACAAAAAATTGTTCCACTCAGCAAAAACTTTGGCGCCAAATGATTGAGCCAAAAAGTTGGCATGTGTAGGTGCGCGTTTGTACTCTGAAAATAACTAAAGGAACTGAGCACGGATAAAGAAAGTTAAAATAATAAGTCGAATAGCCAGAAGAGGAATGACCTGGCCGGGGATGAAACTTTTCTAAATGGAAGTGCCACCGAGAGTCCGAATACACATTCAGCTTATCGCGATCTATGGCCAAACCCATTTAAATAGCTTATCACTTGAGCAAACCTAATTCGACATAAATATTCACGAACGTAAGTTGGGATTTTTCAATGGCAAAGTTTTAATTTACAGAGACTGTTATTCACCAAGAAAAGTTCTTAAGCTGCGGGCGGAAAGAAGTCAGCGCATGGATCGGATCTGCCAGATATTTTTATTTACCATTTCTTACCTCAGTCGTAACACCCGGGGTATTGCTCCCCTGTCAAGGCCCTTCGGTGCCCAGGCATGTGAATCTCTGGCATTCATAACTCTGTCCACTTGTCGGATACTTGGCCAGTTGCCTGCGATGGCAGCCGGCAGACGTCAGCCGTTAGCAGGTCATGCTGAGAATCCACAGATAGGCACTTGGACCCTACAGTAGGGCCTTTCTCTTCAAGAGCAATGACAGTTTGGCTATTATAAAGCCAAATGCGAAGAAGAATTTTTCTAGAGGTGTTATATTGCCCAACCCAACACATATTTATTGCATTTGCTTAGGATTTAATGTAGGAGTAATTATAGACCAAATTATTATTTATTTTATTTCTGTTTAGCTTATTTATCATCTCCAGATTTCACATTTTTTGAGAAAAATATGTTTACTTATAGTACTTTCGAGTGACTATACTTTATTTTTATTCCTGAGTTTGCATCACTGATCAGGGAGCAGGGGCAACAACTGCTGCCGGTGCAGACAGATTTGCTATGGGCACGGCTGCCTTCATCAGCAGTAACAGTTACTACACCGCTTGAGCACATACCCACATACACTCGCAGAAAATCCTCCACCGAGTCAGCTCAAATATGCAGAACTTTTTTATATGCCTCATAAAATGTTTCTCTTTCTTTCTGCCCTTTCTGATGATGACTACCATGTCGACGACGGCGCACAGATTTAAGTGGCTTCATTAAATTACTCGAGCTGCCCAAATACAAGAGCGTTGTAAAGACTTTAAATGCGGGCATTAACGTAGACACCGACGTGGACCTCAGCGTGGATGTGAACAAGTTTGCGAATATGGACATTGACCCGCCCAGCCAGCCACGTCAGCAACATCACCAGCATCAGCAAAATTTGCAGCAGCGAGGGCGAGGGCGGGGGCAGGAGAAGGAGCAGGAGCCACATCCTCGTCAACAGCAGGACTCCAAAGCGAAGCAGTTGTCAGCGGACCAGGAGGCCTCCTTATCTTTCGGCGGGAATGGGGAAAAACTGTGGAACGACGCCCGCAGCTTCTCTGGTCACTGTCATCAGCTGGCTGAGCAACTGGCCCTCGATTTTAATAAGACCATCGTCCTGTGGCCCTGTCCGCGAATGAAAGTGAGTACGTCCTAACTTTAAGACCACTGACATGCAAAGGGAAATCTCGGGGTGAGTGCTGGAGGGTGGGCTATCGTCCGTTAGCACTTTAGTGAGAGAACGAATTGAGGTGCTAGAAATAACTTATTGTCAAGTTAGTACCCTAGGCATCTATCCGATTTTTATAATACTAAAGTTTTCTATATAAAAAGTGTGGTAAACCAACATCTTCTGTACAAAATTCTGTACTTCCGATTTAATAATTTGGATTGAAGTCAACGCAAAACATAATTACTATGTTATCTTTTGGAAATAATTTGTTATACCCTAACTGAGTGAGTTCCCACATTCTGATAAAATGTTAGTAATGCAGTGAATGGGACATTTTCGAAATCTCGTATCAGTCTGTCTGTTTCACTACCTTTTGCGAACCTAGCTTATTGGTTTGAAACCTTCTCGAAAGTCTTAGGATACGTCAACGAAGCTTTAGTAGGAAAACAGACGTCTATATCATAAACCTCCAATAGAAAGATCCTAATTTGATAAAATCAGACTGTGTGAATCGTTATTTTAGAGAAGATATAATGATTACCGATTAGAGAGAGAAAGAAAGTGAACCCTTATTTTTGTGAAAAAGAATAGCATTTATTTATTTAATTTTATATTTTCTAAAGCGTAGTAGGTGTGAAAGGTAGTAGGTGTCTCAGAAATGGCACTGTGTTATGAATGACTTTTATAATTTTTACTTGGGGATATTAAAGCTTAGGAAAACATATGTGAAGGGAAGCTTTTTGAGTGGTATGTAGTTATTATTATGTGGATAATTGAGTAGGAATTGAAACTATAAATCGCTCTGCACACGGTGTTCTTCTCCAGTTTTCTTCTAGCTCTTTCCATCGTCCCTTGGCAACACTACTAACTAGGCGTTTCTCAACACTATCGGGCTATCGATAGGGATGCGAATTAGGCACTGTTCACACATACAATTTTAAATGTGGCTTAGCAAAGAGAAAATTAAAACATAGTTGCAACAAATAATTAAACAGTTCCTATAGGTATTAGCTAAATCTGAATGGTTACAGATTTTGAAGTTTATGTGTGTTTTAAATTCATTTGCGGTCTACTCGGTATAGCAACATGCATTTATATTTATGGGTTATCTAACATGTAAAACCCTCCAGCAGAATTTTGTGTGTTAATTAAGCATGGCCTGGAACAGCCGCAGGCATTTTGCAGCAGCAGTTTGCTATTTCCCAAACAATCTCGAAACAGAGCAAGGAGACAGTTCGCACCACAAAAGTTCATCAAGTCAACTCCGTGGCTGTGCGCTGAGGGTTGCAGGCAAACAGGCAATGGAAAACCGAGCCAAAGGCTGACGGCAGAACAGTTTTGGGGGCGGTTAGAGCCGAGAAAGCGGGAAGCATCCAAAATATGCTGGAAAATTGCTGGATGAAAATCGACGCTGGCATGAAATTACTTTTTGCGGCAAGTGTTGCCCTAGTTCCACCTTTCCTCCCAACCCTTGCCCACCTCGTAGTTTAGCTGCAGACCAACAAGTGCCCAGAAGGATATCTGGCTTAATCCCGCTTGCCTTTCCTACTTTGGCCAACTGTCACATAAAGTTGCGCAACATAAAGTTCTGCTCGCTTCTTTTGCATTTTTTTATGGGCATGGCATACGTCTGGGTGACACCCAATTTTTTGTTGACAATTGATTGACAAGTGCTTGGCGGAAGGCTTCCAAAAGTTTGTTAACTTGTTGAGAATGTCAGCAAAGTTATTAATGAAAAGCTGTGTGGCATGAAAGGCCCTGACAAGTCGTAAGAAAATGACAACTGGTATGGATAGCGAACAATTGGCAATGCCCAAATAATAGACTGATGGCTTAAAGGCCACCGCTGGTAGCATCTGGGCAAGCTTTGAATAGGTTATTATCGTTGCTTGCCAATAGCCCGGATTCCTGACATTCCATCCTCTTTTCATCTGCATCTTTCGTCGTTTATCCTTGTAAGGACTCATCTCGGTAGAATCGTGAACAATAATGCTGCAGCCTTGACATCTACTTTTTTATGGATATGTATGTTTTTATAAGCTCAGCAGCACTGAGCTGAGCTCAGATTCGGTTTATTATAGGCACGTATGCGGATGCATGGATCCACACTGCATGTAAAGAGCAGCTTGGCTAAGAAGCACGCTGTGCCATAAATCTAAAACTCACAGCTCGTCAAAACAACTAGCATCTGCCATAAAAGCGACCCCTACCTGGGCGAAAGTGCACACTCAGCAATAGGTAAACACACTAATAGCACATCCCTTTGGCCAGACTCTAACCTTTAATACTACCTTCAGTCGCCAGTAAAGAAATGCCGTAAAGCATATAAATTGACTAATTCATATTTTTATTATTATTTTTTTGCAATACAGATGTTTATGTGACGTCTAGTACTTGAAATTTCAAATGTTTATAGAATCCGCGTGGACTGTAGAAAATAGTATTGAGAAGCTTACCTAGCAGTATAAAAATCAATCGTTGTTATTTTTGATAAAATCCAAATCCAATGGGCAACACGACTAACAGCTAAAACACACTTTTTGGAAAATAAAAGTATTAGGAACAGCCCAAGTAGTCACCGCGAACTCTTTACCGGCAACAGCCGGTAGTAAAGGCCAAGGCAACAGCGACAAAGTTACAAAACGTGCAATTAAGTGTGATGCGCTGTAAGTGCAACAAAATACGCCTACCCACGCTGTTGCCGGTGGAACCGCCCCTAAATCAGCGGCACAAATGCCGCACAAAAGTTGCAATTGATGCGATTTGCCCTCTCCGAGTCCTTTGCCAGCAACTGCGAAAATTTGCAACTGCCGGCAACTTGGGAATGCGATCCCACTGGGTTTAAAGCGCGCACATCGACTGCCATTGTTATATCGTTTGGCTGTGGAGAGAAGCGTAGCGCAGTGGGAACCTTTGATTCCTCCTATTTTAAATTAAGTCTCCTTATTACATTTAATGGCTCCCCCTAAAAGTCCATATACAAGTTAAACTGTCAATAAAACTTTAAGAAAATGAAAAAGAATATGGATTGTTGATTTTTTCAAATTAGAGATAATGTGAAAGTAACTTAAAGGAAAGAAAATGTGAAATGAAATTTTTAAATAGTGGAGAAACAACTCCTTTTAATGGACTTTTCATTTGTTTTCTATTCTTTAGAATCGATTCAATGACATTTCTTTGTTATTACAGTTAACATACAACCTTCAAGTCCCTTAGGTGGAACATGAAATCCGCCTAATGAAGATAAATGCCACATCTCAATTGAATGCGGTTCTTGGCGGGTGATGGCTTATATCTGAAATCCCTGGGATACAACTTAAAACAATAAAAGAAGCGTCCCTCGGCACCTATGTATTGCCAATCTGGAACGGTTTTGCCATTTATCTCAGTCAGTCGACTGAATGATTCAGTCCATCGAGTCAAAGATGGGACAGTCAGTCAGTCATTCATCCAGTGAGTCACTCATTCAGTCCGTCAGCCGGCAGTGCAAAAGTGTGGACTCAAACACTTGCAACACCACCACCCCTAGCATCAACCATCCCTTGTCCCACTGAGCATTTGCCTTTCACTCAATCAGTTTGACAATGGACAATTGCAAAGCAAGCTGAGAGCTGCATCAATGATAACGATGACATCCGTTCTGGCTAGCAATGATATGGCCAACTGGGAACGCTTTTAACGGAGGGATTGTGGGATGCAGTCCCAACAGTTCCCAGTCATTTTACTTGTTACCCGTTACTTGTAGAGTATAAGCTATGTATATTTTTGATCAGGATGAATAGCGAAGTCGAGCCATGTCGGTCTGTCCGTCTGACCGTCCATCCGTCCGTATCAACGCTGAGATCTGAGGAACTATAATATACATATATATTTATATTTATATATTATTATTATTATTATTATTATTATATATATTATTAGGAACTATTAGAGCTAGAAAGTTGAAATTAAGTCTGCATTATCTTGAGATGCCAGCGCATCTTATGGTGGTCCCATTATCTGGCCACACCCACCCTTACTATCACCAAACTCGAAAGACGGGTTTCGGATTTCGTAGAAAAGCTGATATCTGGGTAACTATAACCGATAGAAAGTTCGGATTAGGCATTTTGGTTTTTATGATGCCCACAATGCGAAATGTTTTTTTCCCATCTAACCCGCCAACCCTGACGCCCACAAAACCCGGAATATTGTGGCGTCCATAATTTTATGGTGAAAGATTTTTCAAATCGGAACATTATTTCGCTATTTATGAAGAAATGTAGGTTATAAGGTATCACAAGAGCAGTGACGTCCCTATCAGTTACTCAACATGCTTTCTCCGACAATAGGTGGAGCTTTGTGTAAAACTGTAAGGGGTATCTTATAGTCGTGGCACTTGACTATAGTGTTTCTTCTTGTTATACCCGTTACTCGTAGAATAAAGAAGTATATTAGAGTCGTTGGAAAGTATGCAACAGGTAGAAAGAAGCGTTTTCGACCCTATAAAGTATACATATTCTTGATCAATATCAATAGCGAAATCGATTACGCCATGTCCGTCTGTCCGTATAAACGCTGAGATCTCAGGAACTATAAGAGATCAACTCTTTAAGAACAACTCTTTGGGGATAGCTGAATGTGGAAATAACACAAAAACCAAAAAGAGTTTGAAGCTTAAATATCATTTTCGTTCTGTAAAAGCATTTTAAATTCAACCAATTTTCAGTTTTAAGAAAAGGTTAAATTTAGTATAGATATAAACATAACGACTCTTAATCTAAAGTCCTATAACCTACTAAAGGACGGGACAGAGTTTTACAATTATCGCATTTTTTCTTCCTTCGTTTTGTTGTTACCCACACGCTTGCCGCATGTGGCGGATTACAAAGGGACGGGGCACATCAGACGGTGCATTGACCTGAACATGGCACCATCATAATAAATAAGCCAATTCAACATCCTCCTCCGTCTACCGAGCTTATGATGCT